AGGGGGGACATAGAGATGGGGAAGGGGGAGAAAGGGTGGGCAATAAAGAGATGGGGAGAAAGAGAGGGAAGAATGAGACACAGGGGGAGACAGAGACAGAGAGGGAAGAATGAGACACGGGGAGAAAGAGGGGGAATAGAGAGATGAGGAGGGGGAGAAAGAGACAGAGAGGGAAGAATGAGACACGGGGAGAAAGAGGGGGAATAGAGAGATGGGGAGGGGGAGAAAGAGAGGGGAGGGGGGAGAAAGAGAGGGGAGAGATGGGGAGGGGGGAGAAAGAGGGGGGACATAGAGATGGGAAAGGGGGAGAAAGAGGGGGGAACAGAGAGATGGGGAGGGGAGAAAGGGGGGGCAATAAAGAGATGGGGAGAAAGAGAGGGAAGAATGAGACACAGGGGAGACAGAGAGGGAAGAATGAGACACGGGGAGAAAGAGGGGGAATAGAGAGATGGGGAGGGGGAGAAAGAGACAGAGAGGGAAGAATGAGACACAGGGGAATAGAGAGATGGGGAGGGGGGAGACAGAGAGGGAAGAATGAGACACGGGGAGAAAGAGGGGGAATAGAGAGATGGGGAGGGGGAGAAAGAGACAGAGAGGGAAGAATGAGACACGGGGAATAGAGAGATGGGGAGACAGAGAGGGAAGAATGAGACACGGGGAGAAAGAGGGGGAATAGAGAGATGGGGAGGGGGGAGAAAGAGGGAAGAATGCCCCCCCTCCCCTGTCCGCACCGTGCGGGCAGGGGAGGAAGAGAGGACCTGGGAGCTCACCCTGCAGCTCCTCTGGGTCCTTCTTGCGCGAGCACAGAGCGTTGCCGCGGTTACCATGGCAACGTTACTGCTCTTGCGAGAGTCAACTCTAGCCCTGGAGCTACGGGCTAGAGTTCACTCTCAACACTGTAACCCCCATGGATTCCTGGTGGTCGCAGTGGTGAGAGTGAACTCTAGCCCCATAAACACACTGCCCCCACACACACACCATACACATTCACACACTGCCCCCATACACACCATACACATTTACACACATTGCCTCACACACACACATACACTGCCCACCCATATACACACAGACCCCCATACACAGCCCCCATACTAACATTGCCACACACATACACTGCCCACACACCCTACACATTCACACACTACACCCCCACACACACACTGAACCTTTCACACACATTGCACCACTGCTCCTATTCCCTACTACAGCCTCATATCCCAGCAGACCCCAGGTAAGTTGTCAAACTGTTCTTAAACGGTTTGACTACTTACTCTGGAGCAGTAGTGGTTATTGTGCATGGATTATTTCTTTAAATAATCTACAAGTGCCCCAGTAGCCAGCCAGCCAACCCCACAGGCCAGTAGCCAGCCCACAGGCCAGTAGCCAGCCCACAGGCCAGTAGCCAGCCCACAGGCCAGTAGCCAGCCCACAGGCCTACAGCAAGCCACAGGCTTACAGCCAGCAAGCCATAGCCTACAGCCAGCAGCCTGCCAGCCAGTAGCCTGCCAGCCGCAGTCAGCAAGCCCACAGCCTGCCGGCAGTAGCCAGCAAGCCCACAGCCTGCCAGCCGCAGCCAGCAAGCCCACAGACTGCCAGCCAGCAACAGTAATTAAGGTAAGAGGAGCCAACTTGGCTTAGGTATCAGCGAGCTATGTTGTGTTGCTATATTGTGAATAGGAACCAGAGTGTTGGAGAGACCACCCTCCAGGCCCCATTAGACTCTAGCCTCTGCTAGAAATCCCCTCCATGGCCCATTAGCCCTCAATTGTAGTTTCTACTGGGGCCTGGAGGCGACTGTTTCCAGCAGGGGATATCTAATGGACGCTGAGATGGCCTCTGTTAGAAAGACCCCCTTCCAAGCCTTTTAGACTCCATTGTAGTCTCTAATGGGGCTTGGAGGGGATTCTTTCTAACACACCCTCTAAAGGACACTGAGATAGCCTCCGCTAGAAAGACCCCCATCCATGGCCCATTAGCCCTCAATTGTAGTCTCTACTGGGGCCTCGAAGGGCTTATTGCCCTTTTGTTCCTTGTGTCTAAAGATTGTGTACGGTGTGGCTGGAGGCGGGACAAGGGTGGCGCTTGCTGCAGAGTATGGATGGGGCCTGTAAGGGGGCTCTTGATTTATTTTGCACGGGGGCCCTGAGGGTTCTCAGTCCGCCCCTGCCCATGGGCATATACTTATTAAAGTATAATTTACCTTCAAATTGGAAACCCAATGACCCAAAACAATCCGGATGTATTGGGAGTAATCTCAATGCTGACTCAATGTTAACTTTTGCCATGAGAGCATTCTTCCAACGATGCCTCACTATTTTAATGCATCCTAGGAGGAAAAATATGACACTGAAATATGGAAATATCAACCTCATCATTCAAACAATCACATTTGGGTAAGATAGGTGGTGAATTAGACAGACAAAATTTGTAAATCAGTACTAAAGATACCCAGACCAACATTCGAAAGATGAACACATCACTATAAAACAACTATAACTTTACTCACTTTTAATACAACATAACTTGTAACCAAACATCTCTGATCTTTAAACCCCCAGAGATTTTAACACATGACTTACCATAGTTCTGTCCTCTACATAGCTAGAATTTAAACATATCAATAGCCTATAATCAAACATCTCCGATCTGTAGACCCCCAGAGAACACTAAACACTAGCAAAATTACAAGTAGCCACTTATTAAAAGACTGAGTCACTAGGCGTTTCCTGTCATCCTCTCTTTCTTGCTTTAAAAAGAAATCCTTAGACGATGGTAACAAAGAAAGAATATCTGAATATTCTTTATTCCATATCTTTTCTTTGATTAAACTTGCTAAATGAAAACCAAGTGGAGAAACCTGAAGTAACACTCCTAGTGCCTCTCCTAGCTTAGCCTGCTGAGAAACCCCAGGAAAGGACTTAGCAGCCGAATTATCTGCTCCTTATGACGGCACGGCAAAATAGGTACCTGCTTGCTCACGGTCTTCAATAACCGGCACTTGCCCAGTTCCAGAAGTCTGACAGGATTTTGTCTTCCTTTTCCCTGCAATTCTCTTCTTCTTGCTTCCTCTGATAGGTGAAGGGGAATAACTCACTCTTGATTTAGAAGCTCACTTCTTTCCTTCTTGAAGCGAACTTCTATCACTCAAGCTTATGGACATTTTTGGCTGCTCCTCAGAGTCTTCCCCCTTTTGTAGCCTCCTCCTCCTCAGGTTCCAAAATATCCATTAATGTTAATTCCTGTGGGTGTGAATCAATTTGGGAGGAAGGAGCAGTCAAAAGGCACTGCATTAAACCATTCAGTACCACCACTGCTGGACGCCCTCCTTTTCATTTCCTCAAGTAAGTGCACTATAGCTGCACTTTTGTTAATAGAACCAAAGCTAAAACAAACAGCTGACAGGAAAAAGGAGGGAACAGGGGACAGCTCTAATCCAAATCTTCCACAGCTATTTTGGCATACAGTTTTTCAACTATTTTGGTGCTAGCTGTTACCTAAGTGCACCTTATATATTGCGGTTTTCCCGCTTTACAGTGCCCTCGCGAACAATCGCTCCAATCAGAGCGCTGTCTGCACAGACCTCTGCACTATATGTCCACAAGGGCATCGCACAAACCATTGCCGATGCCCTCGCAACCTGCCAGCAGTTCGCGTGCATTAACCCTCCCACTGGTAACCCCGTAGCGCACATGTGTACACAGTCAATTGACCGTGTATTGTCTATTTTAACATCCATGTCCTTTATTTTACAAACTTGTCTGAGCAGGGCACTCACTGCCCCTTGCTCAGGTAGATAATATGTCTTGTTGAGTGCTCTTGCAGTCTCAGATTTCTCATTCATTGTACAACTTTGTGCAATACACTGGATATACAGAAACGTGGGTGAACTAAATTGCAACACTGCGCATAATAATCCATAATTAGCTCTGGATCGATATTATGCAGCCACCAGTAAAGCCAGAATAGTTTTGAAAACTGAAACTTGTATCTTGTTGCACTTTGTAGAATTCTGGGAACTATTGTGTTCAAAGATGTGTCATAAAATAAAGTTAATTTTGAAATCTTTACACGGCAGAAAGTGATGGGGGTACCAAACAACATAAGAGACACGTGCCTCACTATTCACTACTTACTATGCTAATACTAGGAAAGAGGAACTGTATTTCTCGTGCTCCGTTTCCGCCCGGACTCGTTTCATAGTTGCAGTGAGGTGAGTGAGATTGACCTGTGAGTGGCATTTAGAGGCAGCGGTGTCTATAACGGGTTAATATTTGGTTATATTCGTTCAGAGTGTCTGTCATCTTAAATAAATTATCATAAAATCATGTTATAAGGGATAATTCTTTCACAGAATGTTTGTCATTCTCACACAGAATCCGAACATGGAATCTTTCATTTCAGCTTGGTTAGTTGATCGTGTCTGTAATGTAATAATAATTCTTTATGAGCAGGCTGCAATGCGACATCTCGGTTATGCTCTGCCAGGCTTACCAACATTCCAGCACGAGATTTATTTCATACACTGGCAGCATGCTATGTGTGTGTCCTGAGAGGGGTCAAGTGTGAAGTTACCTTTGCTTCATTTTACAACACTGACAGGTTTTGCGTCACTGAACTGAATAGTGTGATATGGAAAGGGAAATTGCACATTTTAGCTGAGCTATGAAAAAAACGGTGAGAGAATGTTCCAAGTTTGGCTATTTAGGCATAAAATTAACAATTTATTTGTCAACTCTTACAATTCCCAGCTGACGGTCACATGAACCCAGTTATTGGCCAGACAATAATTAAATTATTACTATTTATACATATTATTTTTTTTATTTTTTTTTGTCTGCAGGCCCATCCCCGATCTCCATTATTCCATTTTTATTTTTCACTTACATAGTTAAGAGAACTGTCCTCATTCCAGCTAGGGCAAGCACAGCTTCCTTAATATTTTTGCAAATGTATTTGAAGTTATTTTGCCCATTTATAAGTGCCACTGCATTACCACTTGGTAATTATTTAAACTTCCCTGATAGATGGAGGAATTGTGTGCACTCCGCCGCATACACTCCTCTCTCCCCACTATCCGCTCAACACCCAAAACACTGTATCATCTCTAGGAGCACATTGGGCCAACAGGAGCAACACGGGAAAGGTGACCGTACAGGGGAAATGCATTCCACCCCCGGCCACAAATGAATGGGAATGGTAAGAGTAGAGATGAACGTGGATAAGCATTGTCATAAAGACATAGAACTGAAATGCTATGGGCCCTAACATTGTCTGTGAGCATTACAAACAAGTGTATGGGAGTACAAAACCCATTATTGCTGTATATTCACTATATGTTTGTCACGGAGTGCACTTACAGGCTTTTTGTCTTATTGTAAGAATTGTCAGGAACTAAAAATTTAAAGGGACAATATAGTCACCAGATCAACCACAGATTAATGTAGTTGTTATGGGGTCTATAGCTTTTCCATGCAGACTTTTTAATGTAAACACTGCCTTTTTTAATGCCTAGTTACACCTCTAGTGGCAATCGCTCAGACCGCTTATATATAGTGCTTTCTGGTGGTGATCAGTGTCTACGCTCTGCATGGAGATGCTGAATGCTTCCAATAGAGATGCATTGATTTAATGCATCTCTATGAGAAGATGCTGATTGGCACAGCTCAGCGTTTTGCCATGAATGCGCAATGTCCTTCCATTGCTTTCCTGTGGGAAAGTATTGCATTGGCTGAGCTTATCAAATTTGATGATCTCCGCCACAGGGCGAGACCAGAGCGAAGCTGGACAAAAGGTGAGTTTAAACATCTTTTTAAAGCAAAGAGAGGGGGGCTTGGTACCTAAACTTTCATTTTACCACTGTAGGGTCAGGAATACGTTTGTGTTTCTGACACTATAATGTTCCATTAAAGCCAAAATATCAGAACTGAAAGCATAGCTAACTCGGACAATATTTCTTATTCAGCTGTTTTGGCATTAAAACTGAAATTTACTTTGAATTCCCAAATTTTCTCACTATAATAAATGATGATCTATTTTGCAATATTGTAAGCGAATTTCTCTCACAATGTGAAGATTTTAATATGGAATAATTTTCTACCGTTTGCTGTCAGCTACTCTATCACAGTTATTTACTAAGCTGAGAATTGAAGTGAATTTAAAAATTAAGGCCATAGTTGCCGAACTGAAAGCATAACTGGTGTATAGAATTTCTCCAGTTTGGCTATTTTGACCTAACATTTGAAATTCACTTTGAATTCTCACTTTAGTGAATAAGGCTGTCTGTCTCGGATGGCGTTCTGACTCTTCGCTACTCTGCTGTCGGAGTGACTTTCTGTCTCTCAGCAAATAGCCATAGGGTAAGAGCCAGGCTTGCCTGCTTTTATCAACAGTGCTACCTGAGTACCAGGGAACCTTTTTACAGTCAATATGTTTTCTGGATGGATTTCTTATTATCTGCTCTGCTGTCTGCAGTAAGTTTAGTCGGTCAATACAGCTAAGCTGGAGTTTGCAGTCCCTGTAGAATTACATTCTACCTTGCCAAGCAAGGCTGCAATATGCATCCTTTATTCCATTTTCAATAATCTAATTGTATTTGGTTTTATTTCTTATATCCTTATCTTATATCCTTTTCTTATCTCTTCAGCATCCCATTTTATTCTCAAATTATAAGTTGTGTGTGTGCATTCAACCTTGTATTTACTGTTAATTTCTGGTTGAAAGATTGTAGCCATAGAGCATCATTGCTGCCGATAAGGGGGTACAACTGGTATTCCATTAAGAGGCTGGCATTGCTATGGAGTCTGATTGGCATCCTGTAACTCTATGTGTTCAGGTTGGGGAAAAATATCTCAGATTTAAAGATTCGCAGGAAATCAGATCAAACCATTGCATTGAATGCTAAAAATATATGTGTAGCTCCTACCTCTGCTGGAACTGGACATTCATGGAATCAGAAAGGAGGCTCCTACTCCACAGCAGCAATACAAATATATAAGTATATAATATCTCCCTTAATTTGACATTATTGCAGGAAGGCAGTGGATGGACCTCTCTACAGTTTGCTATGGCCAACATTCTCCTTCTTGAGCACAAAGATTAATTTTTAATCCAAAACATTGCCTGGTACCCACAGGGGCGAGTTTCTGTGCGTGTCTCCCAACAGTCCCAGGTTCAGTAGGACAGTCCTGGTTTTGGGTTCTACTCTCGCTATCTTGGGAACTGCCCCGAGCAAGTTCAAGCCAAGCACATCATAAGGTTTGCTCGTAGGGTATTCAGCCCATGCTCCGAGCTCTTTAGAAGAGCTGTGTGCATTTGCAACCCTTAGTAGAACTGGTCAGAGTATCTTCTAGTCAGTCTGGCTTGCCCCTCATTTTGATTATCACTGCTTCATTTGGCTGATACAAAATAGATTTAAGACAAATTGTGAGACACATTCGGCATATATTATTTTGTACTTATCATTTGTGAATGGCAGGGGCTGATAAGTTTGTAGTGTTGCTTATATGTGATGGGGCGTATATACATTTTTAATTAATAAAGTCTGTGGTGACATCAATGTGGAGTCTGCATAAACATACACTTCTATGTATGTGTCCATTACTTAAAGATGGGTAACCGCTATTATAGACTTTCTTGGAGCACATTTAATGTAACCACACATTTTTACTTATCACAATTTCCTTAATTATATTGTATTTTTATTATGTTTGATTTCTTAATTTGCAGAGATGGCAGCTTTAATTTGGAGGTGCTCATTTACCAGAGCAAAAGCTAGATGGCTCCACCAAAGGTGTTTATCCCTTTATAACAGCAGCCATGGTTTTGATGAGACAAAAATTAAGGAGAAACTTGCACAATTCTCAGGGGGCTCTATAGACCTCCATAAAGGTGAAAATGGTATTGCAGAACTCTGTATAAATAATCCAAGTCGAATGAATGCGTTCACAGGTATGCTTTTTTTTTGTCAATATGAATATGTATGTCTAGTTTTCAAGTATTTTAAAATTATATACATAAAAACAGTTCACCAAACAAAGCTGGTGAGAGAACACGGTGTGGGGATATATAATTAGTGACTCTGAGATT